AGAGGTGAGGGTGGAATTTTTCCAATTTGAATTATCTCTGGGGAGATTGTGGAGCTTCTTGTATACCTTAATTGGTTTTCATTTTATACATTATTCTAAATGTGTATTTTACTATAAATAGAACACACATTATTGATTGGGGTTTGATTTCTGAGTTTCAAGGTGCTATGTAAAGATACTGAAATTAAGTATCTTACTCCCATCTAGTCTCAATATAAAATTTAAGAACTAAGAACACGTCATTTGCATTTTATTAGACACATTCAGCTTAGCCAGTGTTTACCTTAAAAAAAGGAAAATTTTAGCCCTGGCCTGTTTGGCTTAGCGGTTAGAGCATCCACCTGCGGTCCTGAGAGACCCGGGTTCGGTTCCCGCTAAGGGGCACGTACCTCGGTTGCAGTTTGTCCCCGGTCCTGGTCGGTTGTGCGGGTGGCAGCCACTCGATGTGTCCCTTCACATCGATGTTTCTCTCTCTCTCTCTGTTCCTCTCTCTCCCTCCCACTCTACCTGAACAAAAAATGGAAAAATGTCCTCGGGTGAGGATAAAAAAAAAAAAAATTAAAAAAAAAGGAAAATTTTAAATTTTGATTACAGTTATAAAAAATAAAAATAATCTACTTTTTGCTATTTGCCAATTCATTATTTAAAAATGTAAAACCTTCTTTCAAAATTGACTGCAGACATACTTTATTTCACACAGTTAGTAATGTGTAAACGTAATTGTAATGCTTTTATACTTCATTATAAAGTTTTAAAACTATTTTCTCTTATTGTTCAAGTAAAAATTGTGAGTTTTTAAAGCTACATTGAAAAGTAATCTCTTACTTATATGCATATATGCATAACCAATGGACATAGACAATAATGCTAGGGGTGGGGGGTGGGATGGGGAGGAGAGGGTCTAGGGGGGGAAAAAAGAAACATCTGTAACAAAAATAAATAAATAAAAATTGGAGGAAAAAAAGTAATCTCTTTCACATGGTTCAGAATATATGATGTTTATAAATTCTTTAGACATATATTTCACTAAATCTGCTAAATTCCAATTTAATTTATACATTGTAAATAGTATATTTGTTTAATATAATGCAAAGTCACTGAAGTCTGATAAAATAATGCTTTAAAAAGGTATGGCAGGCTTTTCCCCTGTATTATGTAAATGATGGCTTTTGCATGTTTTTCCTATGTTGAAAATGAATATATTAATTCAATCTGTCCCATTTCTCAAATAAAGTTGTGCTTTTTGGGAACTGATAATCAGCTGTTTAACAATCTTTTAGAACATAAGTCCCGAATGTTTTAACATCAAACTGTGAAATAAGGCAGAATTCAAAGGTATTGTTTGTTCTTCATGATAATCTAGAATTTTTATTTGATTCCAGGTACCTTTGGACAATAGACATGATGGGATGTTTTCTTTTGTAATTAACAATTTGTAACAATTAATTTTGTAAATAACAATTTAATTACATCGTTGAAATAAAATATAGTGTGGTCTTAATACATTGTAAATATTACAGAAGTACTACTTTGCTATAGTAATTTAATGACTGAAGCTACAGTGAATAACGATCTTACTGGTACTTGTGTACAAAATATTATACAGATTACTAACAAAGAAACTGCAGCGGTTGCAAGGATGTTACCAGCTCAACAAACATCTAACAATACAATATTCTTCTAAGAGGAAAAGTAATAATGTTAGAGTTATAGACAATAAAGAATTGTTTTCCATTTGAAACATTGGAAGAATCCAGATGACCTAGTATCTCCATTTATACTGTTACAAGAAAAAGATTTCCTTTCTTGGGGACTCCAATCCCCCAGCAGCCTAGTGCACTAAATTTACGTGAAGATAGCTTTTAGGATGCTACAGCAAAGTAAAGAAACATTTCTATCTGAAAATTACTGATTCATAGGCCACTGCTTAAACATCTGACTTTTTTTTTTTTTTAAACCTATTTACATACATTCAGCCCAAATCAGTAGATAAAATGTTTTGTCTATATTACAATAGGCATTGTTAACATTTCATCAGAAGGCCGGAACAAGACAAATAGCCATTGCCCAGCATTTAGGAGATTTGAAAATATCATACAAATATACAGTTAGATTGTGAGAAATCTAATTTTGCGCATGATATTGGTGGTCCCTTTTACAGACATGGAATGGCAGAAATTAACTGTTAGGGCAGTAACTAGAATGCTCCTCATCCAGGGCCTAATTCTCATCTGGTAGTCGAGCCTGTTTCCTGCAGGGTGAGGGTAGGTGGCCAAACGCCTTCACACTTAACGCCAGATAGATCTGACTTAGAGTGATGGGGAGGCTTGGGAATCATCTCAAGTGTGGGCATATGTCTGCAGCTTCTCCCAGATCCATGCTTCTTTTACATATATTTCATATGTAATAAAAAATTAGAGGTTCTTGGAAACAGCCCTCCTTGTCTAAATAAAGCTGTTGGTCTAGGACTGAAAGATTCATCATTACTCTGCAGAAACTGAGCAGGTTGGAAATGTGGCCCTTTCTGAAAATGTGTGTGATGGTGGAACGTGTGGTCAGGACAAATGTATTATCCTCAGAGGAAAGTAGATAACTCTGAAGTTGAACCTTTGAAAACTTATTGAAATCTAAACTATATTCAAATTAATAGGTCTAATTAAGGGACTAATTAATGAATGATGCTAATTAATGGTAACTCTAATGGGTATATTCTGGGGAGAACATCTGAGTAACCTGGGTTAGGAAATGATATTAAAGGTGTCAAAGGGAATCTATCTAATTAAAATGTTTTAAGGTGAAGGTGATAGAACACATACATGATGATATGTCACAGGTATTTCTTAGAGTATCAGTAAGCACCAAGTTTAGTGCTGTCAGCCCCATGGTCCCTTCATTGATTATACACAATTTAGATCTTGAAAGCACAACACATTATAAAATCTACATTGCATACACACAAATACAGTTTCAAAAATGAATCCTGGAGTTTGTTTTGTTTTGTCTTCTTATCAATAGAATTTTGTTTTCTTCACCAGGTTTTCATAGCTGTGAGAAGAAAGCTGGTACTACCTGGCAAGCTCTGAGACCTGTGGACTAACATTCAGGATAATGCAGAACAAAAGAGTGGCATTTCTTAAATGAAAACTAGACCCTGGTGAGTTTTTTCTCCTTCAGTGGTTCTCAACCTGTGGGTCGCGGCCCCTTTGGGGGTCAAACGACCCTTTCACAGGGGTCGCCTAAGACATAACAGTAGCAAAATTACAGTTATGAAGTAGCAACAAAAATAATTTTATGGTTGGGTGTCACCACACATGAGGAACTGTATTAAAGGGTCGCGGCTTTAGGAAGGTTGAGAACCACTGTAAGAGGTCTTGTTAATGCTCTCACAACCTGAGCCCTTATCTGCATATCACAGAGAGGTAAAGTAAGGGAACCAGCAAGTGGATTTGAGCTATGTACACAGATGATTAAAAGTTTCTCAGCTTGGTCCACAGGCCACATTCAGCCTGAGACCATACACTGCAAGAAGACCTCACCAGGCTGTCCAGGTATCTAAATACCTATACAGTCATCAAAAATGTTAGCTCTCCACTTCGCTTCATGCTATGCGGGCCTCTGGATCCTGCAGGAACCATGCTTTATCTGTATAAGGAGAAGGGTGTAAGTAAAGTTTGCCAGAGTTGAGTGGTTTCTTAAGCAACAGCAATACTTACTGGGAAAGGGCCTAATTCTGAGCACCATTAAGGAGTCACAGACCAGGGCATAAGAGGAAACAAAGCCATGCTTATCTTTATGCTTCAGCAGATCTTGGTAACCAGGACCAGAGAAGAGGCCTATCCTTAGCCCAAACCTGTACAGACACAGCTGGGTGCTGGTTGTCCCCAAGGGCATCTGGGAGAAGCACAGAAGCAGCCATCCATCACCCAGGCCACGATCACGCATGCGTCAGCTCCTCACTGCTCTTTTCTGTCTCCCCCACACACTGACAGGCCTCCTTAGCCACATGTGCTGGAAGGACCCGGTCTTCTAACTTCCACAAGCCGCGTAAAATGTTACTCAAACTGGGGTCACACTGCCTACAAACACATCTGAAAAATGTTACCATTGAAGGTTTTTTAGAACCACTTCCTGTATAATGACTTATATCTCCATGGACTTGATCCATACTAGGTGCTCAGAAACCAAAACACTCTCATCTGACATTAACACTGTAAATACAGAATTTCCCTTGAACGGTTGTCACTGATTATTCCTTGCTACAAACTGGGCTTATGGAATACCTACAGGTCAATTTAGTCGATTTTGACCCAACCTCTTAAAGGCAGGAACGGGGGAGGGGTGAGGGTAGAGGAGAGTTCTGAATGCTCATGGTCAAGGTTTCTGAATGAACTCAATTTGAGAAACTGAATTCATGTACAAGAGTGCAGCACATGGTACGGTTTACACTTGGTCACAGTTTTCTCACTTTATGACATTACTGTAACAGTTACAGGAGAGAAATACACACATACACACATTTATATTCACATTCACACACAGTATACTTTTACTGATCCAGACAATACTTCTTTTCAATTAAGAAAAAATGAAGCTGTTATTTGGCCACCCAGGCATAAAATCTACTCAGACCTGGAATATAAGAATACAATACTCTTCAAGTAAACAGCAATTGCACAGTGATAACAATATACATTAAGATTGACACATGCTGTCTTAAGAAGTCCAGTAATAGCTAAAGACTACAGAAAGTCAGAGATGTCAGCCTAAAAAGTCAATATGCCTCCTTTCTTTCATCTTAATTGTAATCCTTCACCCAAGAGAACAGCTTTAGTTCAGAAGATAATACATGTCCTCGTATGAAAATGCAGAGCTAATAAATTTTTAAGTGTCAATAAATTCTGCTCAATACTTTGAAGAGTCTTCAAATTCTTCTTGTTGTAGTAACAGAAAAAATAAACCTTTATGGTTATTTCCAATGTCAAATTTAAATAGAGATGTTTGAAAAAATATTAAGGTTTCTAAAGTTATATCATGGGCATTATTCTTTAAAAAGGTGGTCTCATTGGCATATATCAACTGCTTATATTCCACTGTTTTCATAAAATTCTACTTTCCAGTTTTGCTGAACTAGACAAATATAAACAACACATAGTGAACACTGATACACATCTCACAGGACACAATACATTTTACAAAATAGCTCTACATTAGCACTAGAACTTTTAAAAATGGACAGCTCTGACTGATACTGAAGTACAGATACATTTCACATTATAATGAACATTGTGGTTACAAAGGCATTGCTCATTTGATGGCATTTTTCTATTGGTACTTAGACTTCAAATGGTGTAGGAGAGGTTTCCCCCCTATTTCACTGAGACTCTGAAGGACCTTCCAGTCACTTAAGCAACAGGCTCTCTTCACTGTAAATCTCTGGAGAACTGAGCATGAGAATCTACACTATCAAGACATTAGTGAACAGACAGCCGATCATGGTGAAAATCACCTTTTCAGTGAGCATGATAAACTTAAAAAATATAACCGATGAGACGACAGACACTTCTAGATTTTGAGCTTTAAAAAAAAAAAAAAGAATTTCTTTTCCTGTGCAGCCCAGGAGGCGCCAGGCTCACACCGCCTCAGCAGACGTGTCTGTAGACACAGACATGGTCACCTTGGCAATCTTGACCGTGCTCTTGATGCAGCTCTCCGTGGCCCTGTGAACGCTGGCGGTATTGTTTGCATGTTTGTGCAGGCAGTCCGACTCTCCCATGCTGTTATCAAGAGGCTGTGCGGTGCCTTCACACGAGGGGAACATACTCCGGAAGGCATGTCTCAGGTCCTTGCTCCTCAGAGCATAGATGATGGGGTTCACGGTGGAATTCAGCAGGCAGAGCATACTGCAGAAGGCAAACACCGTCTTAATGAGCTTGTTCATCTTCCCAAAGACATCATACACCATGATTGCAAGCAGAGGGCCCCAGCAGATGATTAAAACCACGAGGATCAGGACCAGGGTCTTGGCCAGCCTAATGTCCATGCGGGTTTGGTCCGGCCGAGTCACCTGCACCTTGCCGTCCTCGGACGTGTGGATGATGATGCTCTTCTGGGTGCCACGCTGAATCATGCGGACCGCGTGGCTGTGCGCCTTCCAGAGAATGTACATGTATGCATACACGATAAACAGCAGCAGCACACTGGTGACCCCGATCCAGAACATCAGGTAGGTTTCGTCAATGAGTGGGAAAATGTCTGAGCAAACAGATTGCAGTTTCTTGCAGTTCCAGCCCAGGAGAGGCAGCACAGCGATCACAATTGCTATGGTCCACATCACGCAAAACGCCACCACGGCTTTGGGCCTGGTGACGATTCTCTTATAGGCCAGGGGCCTATGAATAGATATGTATCTATCGATGGCTGTGAGGAACAGGCTCCCCACCGAGGCAGTGAAGGAGGCTGTGACGCCGCCCAGTTTGAACAGAAACACATTGGGGCTGTCTTTGCGGTGGAACACGTGGAAATCAACGAAGCTGTAGACAAAAATGACACTCCCCAGAAGGTCTGCCACCGCCAGGCTGCCGATGAAGTGGTAGGAAGGCCTGCAGCGGAGGCTGCGGGAGTGCAGGATGACGCACAGCACCAGCAGGTTCTCCAGGACCGTGAAGGTGCCCAGTGTGAGGGACAGCACAGCGATGGCCAGCTGCTGGCTGGGGTTCAGAATCATGAAGCACTCCATGTCCATGAAGTTCTCCCCACACTGAATGTTCTCATTTTCCTTGTAGGATGAGAGAGACTTGTTGTAGAATTCAGTAATGTTCACCTGGTCTGCTGGGACTAACTGGGGGCTGTCTCCTGCAGTCATCTTTTCCTGGAAGGGACTTCCCCTGAAAGAAGTTAAAGGAAATTTCTGCGGGAAGTACCCTAATTTGGATGCCATGTCGCCTTTGATATCTTCGTACTGAATGTCATTCGAGCCCACGTAGAGGAGGTCTGTGGTGATGGTGCGGAAGGTGGTGTCTGCAAGGCCATCTAGGATCGACTTCATAACCTCTGTCTTCAGTTAGGCCCAACTCAAATGACTGAGAAAGAGACTGGCAGCAGAGAACCCTAACAGAGGAAAAACAGATAAGCCGGGTGGTGAGAAAACCAGGAGAATTCAAACAACAAACTTTCAAAGAGTACCATCCTGTTATTTCACTCCGATCTCTGAATACAGGTCAAATCCTTGCCAAATACAGTCAACAAAAATGAGTCAGTCATTCAGTTAAAGAAAAGACACCCAGAAGTTGCTGATGTGGCGTGCACCAAAAACACATTTCTTTCATTATTTAAGCTCTCTGGATATGAGTCACTGTGTGAGTCCTTTATGGATCACCAGGGTCTGACGGTCAGGTGAAGAGAATGTGTTGTGGACGTGGTGTGCATTTCACAGCCCTGCTAGGAAGTGTTACCACCTGGCTCCTCCAGTCACACACACCCAGTGTCCTAATGCTGCTGGTGGTGGTGGGGGGGGCAACAATATGTCACACATCTCTGCTCTTGAAGACTTGAATCACTTGTCACACAGGTAAGACTGAATGCGCAAGACAATGAAAGGACAAGACGGGTGGAATCAGAGACTGAATTGTGTGGTCTGTGTGTTGGGTGTAAAGGGAGAGGAAGAAACTGCTAAGACTCAAAGGAAGCATGTGGCCCTAGCAGGGAAATTTGGGTTCTAGCCCTGGCTCCATCAGGCAAGTTTTTTCACCTAGAGGTGACATTTGGACTGAGCCATGGCTGAGAAAAACTTATAAAATGTCTACACCAACCAAGAAAACTGTCACGAAGGGCTTTTGCTGGGGCTCAGGAGAAGATCCCCCAATTTTTTTTTAAATCCTCACTTGAGGACATGTTCTTATTGGTTTTAGAAAGAGAGGAAGAGAGAGAGAGAAAGAGAAATATCAATGAGAGAGAGAAACATCAATCAGCTGCCTCCCATACAAACCCCAATCAGGGATTGAACCCACAACCTAGGTAGGTGCCCTGACAGGGAAGCAAATCTGAAACACTTTGGTGTATGGGGTGACGCTCCAACCAACCGAGCCCCCAGCCAGAGCAAACCAAGACCTTTGTACTGGAGAGCAGTGAGAATGGACGGTGCTTCCGGGCAGGTCCCCATGAGTGGTGTGGTGGCACCAGCACGCTGAAGACAGGAGATGGGTCTCACTGTTCAAGGATTTCCATGGGACAGCACTGGAAACAAGGGCAACTGACGGGACAGGACAGCTCGTAAGGGCTCTTCAGTTCTACGCTAAGCAACATGGTTTTGTTTAAAAATAAACCGTCAGAGAATTGGTTTTACTCTGTATAAATGTTTGTTTAAAATATGGCTATTAGGCTTGTTAGTTTATAAAAATATTAGAAGTACTGAGTGATATCTATAGTAATCAAAATAATCATAATCAGCAATATTTATTTACTGTCTTCTTGCTGCTCCTAAAAATATTACACAGTACTGGAGGGAAAAAAGATATTATCTCGGAACAATTTAAAAGTTCTGAGTCCTGCTAAAATACAGAGATCCTATCTGTCTGAATTAATAATTCATTTATTCATCCTTTCAACAAATTAAGGAGCACCCATATGTGCCACGTACTGTGCTAGCCACTAGGGATACAACTGCATCAAGAAGGAGTCACTGAGCACATGAAGTACAGTGTAGCAGAGGAGACAGGCAGCTGACTCCATAAGTATGAGAAAGTGTGGGGACAGCTACAATGGGGTACATACAAAATGCTGTGGGAGCAGCCAGTCTATGGGATTGAAGGAGGCTTCCCCAAGAAAAGGATGCTTATGCCCAGGGTATAAAGGATCAGTGTGGGTGGAGACAGGATATCATATCACTTAATCCTGAGTTTATATACTTATTCCCATAACTAGAATGTAGAATGTTATTTTTTTCTTTTTAAAAAAATGTTTTTATTGATATTTTAGAGAGAGAGGAAGGGAGAGAGAGAAACATCCATGTGAGAAACACTGATCGGCTGCCTCCTGCACGCCCCCAACTGGGGATTGAGCCTGCAACCTGGGCATGTGCCCTGACCCGGAATGGAACAGGGACCTCTCAGTCCATGGGATGATGCTCAGTCCATGAGCCACACCAGCGGGGCTCTTTTTTTCTTATGTGATTCACCAGCCTAATAATATGACAGAAGATGAGAAGGAGAGGGCTGGGCTCCCTTAGAAATGTTCACATGAACCTAACAGGTGATAGTTGCATTTTACTAACTGGTTCATTAAAGCAGTAATTTAATAATATTTAATTGCCTTTTCTTAACATTAAAGGAGAAAATGGTAATTAATTTGATAGATATTTGACCCCAAAACCAAAGCTTGAACCCATTTCCAAGCAACTATGGAAGCCAGTCCATCTTCTTTCAAATAGATGACTCTCCTTTCATATTTCCCAATGAAAGACTAATGTATTTGAAATGTTGGTTATTTGGAGTTACATTTAAAATTCAAAAGGTATAGAAGGACATAGCAGGGTCAGTCTCGTCCTCAGAGGCAAGAAGTTTCTTGTTACTCCTTCTAGAGATAGTCCATGCATATTCAAACAAATGGGTATATTCATTCCCCCTTTACTTTCTTTTTAACAGGCTCTAATATACTATTCCTAGGATTCTGCACTTTGCTTTTCTACTTTCGAGAAGACAATTCCACATTAGACCACAAAACTTCTCTCTTTTTAGCACCTGCCTTAAGTATCTATTAGATAAATGTGATCAGCCTCCTATGAATGGAGGTTTAGGTTGTTTATCATCTCTTTCTAGTACAAATAATGCTGCAGTAAATTACTTTCTGTCATGTCGTTTTTCACATCTCTTGCAGTATTGTGAATAATCTTTGTAGTTGTCCAAGCCCCTATCTCGGATTTATCCTGGACTCCTCTTCCTTCTTGGCCTCTATAATCAGGTAGACCACTAAGTCTTGTTGATTTTCCTTTCTGAAGCACTAATGGAGAGATTACTATGTGCAGGTGGCATGTCAAATTATTTATTTTCACAATGGTCTTGTGAGATAAGTGCTGTTATTATCCCCACTTTATAGGTGAAAAGCACAGAGAGGGTAAGTAATTTGCCATTTGCACTAGTAGGTGGCAGAGCCAGGATGAACCCAGGTGCCCCAGCTCTAGAGCAGTGCTGTTCCATAAAGAGGTAATGTGAGTCATGTGCACACTTCTAGTTTCCAATATCTAGGTTAAAAGAAACATGTAAGGGGGGAAATTAATTTCAGTAATATATTTTACTTAACCCGATGTATTGAAAATAATATCATTTCAACATGTGGAACTAGCCACATTTCAAGTGCTTACTAGGCACACGTGGCTAGTGGCCATCATATTGGACAGCACAGTCTAGAGCTGCTTCTAACATTTATGAGACACCATCTCTCTACCCTAAGGCAGGGATGCTACTCTCTCCCTTCATTTCCCCACTGATGCAGAGAACACTGAGTTAGGAGTTAGCAGACCAAGGTTAGTTTCAGACCCGTTAGTCTTTCAAAACTTCAGTATTTCATTTGTGAAACAGGAAGGAGGAGGAGGCCTAAATCATAGAATTGTGTTGAAAATTAAATATTAAAAAAAGCACTTCACATAGTGCCGGGTACAAAATTCAACTCTTCAATAAATATCAATTATTATCATTACTTAGTATTATGGCTCTTGGCCATATATTATTAATATATATTGAGATAATTCATTGCCCTAATTAGATCACAGGCTGTTTATTCAATTTTTATTTTTGTCTTAGCACTTAAGGTTCAGAGAAAATAGAAGATATATACATGGGTAAAGGAAGAAGAATGTCTATTTGCATAATCCAGGCATTTGAGAGACTACATATATTCTATCATTAAATTTTCATGACAACTTTATCAGGTACTTATTTATAATTCTCATTTCAGAGGCAAGAAGACAGAGGCCATTAGATGTTAAGTAAATTGTCCAGAATATGAAAAATTTGTAGCTGAACCCAGGTCTCTCAGACTCCAGAGTTTCTGCTTTTGGTAGTTTTAAGGATTAACAGTAACTGAGACAAAGCCATTTTGCATCTTCTAGTCAAGTCTTCTAGCTTCTTACAAATACAAATTGACACATTTTGTCAATCTGTAGTAATTAAGACTATCTCCTACTAAATCACTATTTCCTATCCCTGCCCATCTTGTCAAATCTGCCTACTGGCATGGCCTCAAAGACTAAAATTAGTATTATTTGTAAGAGCTATAAAGTGAAGAAAAAGTATCACAGACCTTATTTCCATAACGCAAAACACCTGTGCCTATGATTGACTCTACATTAAGATCACCACATATGTGATCACAATTTCCTATTTTAATGTGACCAAGCACTTTCATTAAAACAAACTAGCTTGTTAAAGTATAAGCTAGAGCACGGTGTGTTTATGAGATACAAAATAATTTCTGTCCAATGTAACCCAACTTTAATTAAAGAATACAGTTTAAAAATACACATAAATTTTATGCAGTTCAAGGATCTCAGTAATGTCCAAATACCACTGTGCACAGGCTATTTTAAGTTAATGAGATCATGGCAGGAAAACTGTTCTCTGCATTTCAGTAATTCTTGCCTTTATTTCTACATTTGGATTATTACAGTAATTTCCACCTGCTTATTTTTTGCACTGAGAGTTCATTAGTAATATAGGCTTTGGGGGTTGCAGCTGCCATTAATTTTGTTTTTGTTTGCTACTGGGAAAATTATAATTGGAAATTTCTAGCAAGATGCATAGATGTATCTATTAAAGAAGCAGTTAGTTTTTATTACAGTTATAGTAAAAGAATGACTGAATGACATTTAAAGGGATTTTCCTTGAATTCTGCTTGAACAAAACCAACATATTCTAATAATGTAAGCTATAAATCATGTCTTTATAATAGCAATAATAAAAACATTTTAATGTATTGCACCTATTATATTTTTTAACTTCAATTTTTAGAATACCACCATTTGTTTTTATTATCCACCTCACTATATGCACACCTGCCTCTCCATCCAACCTCTCTCCCCTGCAAACTTATACATCAACTACTAAGCTATGGTATCA